AAAGATTCCTTTCAAGCTCTATTCTCGATCGCTCTTCCTCTTCTACTGTTTTCTTTAGCTTCCCTCTTTCAGCTGAATACATTACACATTTGTTCTGAACATGTTCTGCATTTTCTTTTTCTTCACAATCCTCACATTTTGTTTGTCCTTCACCCTAGTAAATYTAAAAAYTCATTCAGATATATATGACCCACTCTTAATATCATCATTATCACTTCTTCTCTTTGGCTTCTTTCTCCAAAGTTCTTTGTCATCACTGATTGTTGTAAGGTGGAACATCACAAATGTTTGTCTTCTTCTTCAGATATTTTATTGGCAGTTGGCAAAGTTGTGGTATGCATTACCACCACCTAGTAGATTGGAGTGTGTGGGTCAGAATACTTAACGTTTACAAAAATGCCAGTCTTAATTTAACACCCACAGTGTTAATTTCAACACAACAAAGTGTATGTGTCCACACTCGCTGGTGTTAAAATAACATTGGTGAAAGTGTTCAATTTTAAAACCTTTTCTTTCTTTTTTAAATTTTTTTTAATTTTTATATTTTTTTGTTAATTTAACACCAACCAGTTCAACAATACGTCATATTAACATAAAATAGTGTTAGTGTTAAAACACAGTGTTAAAAGTAACACCAGCCAGTGTTTAATATTAAACAATACTGGGTGTCACATCAACATTTCAACAGTGTTAAAATATAGTGTTAAAAGTGTATTATTATTAACGAAGGAAATTGTGGTGTTGGAAAGGTTAACAGACACAAGGTGTCAATACACKATAAATCTAAGAGTGTAAATTTAACACTCAGAGTTAAAATCAAACTCATTGTAGTGTTGCATAATCAAATCAAATCAATGAGTCATTTGAARGTTATTAAGACGGCGCCGATTGGTGGTGCAGCAGCTGATAGCACTGATCAGTCAGCTCTAATCAGCTCCAGCTGCTCAGAGGATGGTTTAAAAGCAGCTCCTGCATGTTGGAGTCACTGTCAGCAGCACTGAGCTTTGTGTTGGTGCAGTCGACCAGGTTTAACTACAGCAGAATGAGGTAAAAAACAAAACAAAACAAAACAAAAACAGTTGTTTGAGTCCTAACATTATGATCAAAGGTCTGAACTGTTACCAACATGATAAACTGAATGTCTCTGCAGAGTATTGAGGGTTTTCCTGCTGATTGGAGGCATTGCCTGCTTCCCACAACAACAAGGTGAGTTTGAACACAGTGATGTGAGCAATTCAGAGCTGGAACTGAATCTGAATGTAGATGTCTGTCTTCAGGCAGTGGTGGGCAGCCCTGGTGGTGGGCTACCTCGTCTTCTGGACAAGCTCCTTCTAATCCAYGTGATTACAAACCAGCAGGACAGTTGAGTGGTCCTGGCAGCTACCCAGGACTGTACTATAGTGGCACAAACACTGCTGGAGGTGACGACCGCTCTTATTACGGCGTCCAACAACAAAGCGGCTCTCAGGACAGTCAGCATGGGGGTCCAGGCAGCAGCGGTCCTTACCAGTCTACAGAGGAGAGCTGGAGCACATCCTCTGATACCGACGGGGAGGATGAGCCAGTCTTCACTCCTGTGGAGGATGAGGATCAAGTGTACGCTTTAAAGTCTCGTAATCGCTACAACATTAGGCGCATGTCAGTCAGTCAGTTCCGTTATACGCCAACAGAACCACGATTCCCCCAGGATTCTGTGTTCCCCCACCCTGGCAAAGGGCTCCAACCTCAACTTCCAGGCATGGAGAAGAACTGAGGGTGTTCTAAATAAAGATTCCTTTGTTTGCTCACATTCTTTTTGTGTGTATGTGTGGGGGGTCTTTTTTTGTCTTAGTGTGTTTGATTTGTCTACATAAACACTGTCTATGCCTCATTTTGGATGAGGGGAGAAGCCTCTAAATAACCTGGAATTCAGTGACCTTCCTGTAAGACCAGGCCTTTAAGGTAAAGGGATCCCTGATTAGTTGTAACATAAGACTTTCATTGATAAACATATTTTAACTGTAAAAATGTTTTAACACAGATGGAGCCATTATTTACACAAAGCATTCTGGGTAAATGACGACGTGGATAGGCCCTCGGTGTGAGCGAGCTATATCCACC